AACTGAGCCTAGACAGATACTCTTTGTTCCACACTGGAAAAGGCCAGATTGAAGTAATGTTAGGGCAATAGCAAATGCACAACTCGGAACACCAAAAAAGAGGGCGCAATTTTGCCTATCTCCAAGCTGTCAATTATAAACATATATTGTTTATACTTTCCGTCAACAATGATGAGATGGTTTAGTGGCGCTCACCTTAGAATGAACTGTTCCGCGCGAATTGACGCCTCGAAAGTTGCATGATCTGTCTAATTGATAAAGCCATTTGCTTCCTCTAGTCCGTCAAGTTACGATAAATTGGGGTGGTTGTCGAACAGACATACCATCATATTGTATTGATTTTTCCAAAGTGACTCAGAATTTATAACCATTGTATCGAAATTGTTCAACTAATGTAAGTTAAATAAAATAATAAAATAAATAAATAGAATAAAAAATACGTTACTAATACATGAAAAAAGTATTTAAAAAACAAAATAATGCTATTTCGACAAAACACAGGCCGGATTTTTAGTATTCGAATAGGAACATTAGTGTTTTTCGTGCTGACATTCTCTATGGTGCAAAACTTGTTCTGCTTCATGGGCTTAGCGTTTATACTAATTCTGTACAAGTGGCTTCAGTCAATTAGCAGTTATCTTGCTGCAAATTTGTAGGGATAAATAAAACATTTTTGTTAAATACATCAATGAAATAGACTAACTAATGCTGTGATGATAACCACTTATCGCACATGGAATAGAATAGCTTCCCTTGCCCCATCTCAATCTAGCTTGCTTTCCATACAGTTTACTTCAGTAACTATTTGTCTCGCTTAAGGAACCAATAGAAAGCAAGATGTCTTAAATATTAACTAGGATCGCATCAAACGTTTTTAGTTTGGCCTATTGCTGCGATACCTTTCGAATATAGGGCAAAACAGGTAAACGTAACATACGTATATGTAGCTTATTTCAAACACATCAACTTCATACTTTTCTTCGTCGAAAACAGCTTCTTAAGAAGCTGCTCATAAGCAAACTCGAATCTTTAGTAGTAGGTCTTAACCCTCTACCATCCGTTATTCCTGGTTGTGACGACGGTCGGCTGCTTGCTTCTTAATGTCGTCGTTGCAACGTATTGGTACTGTACCCCGGTCTAGATAGATCTAATAGCTCAAATTCGAATGTGTGTTTGACAAAAACAATGAAAGCTAGTCACAGTGATTCGATGGCTGTCTGTGGCATCGGCAGTACTCCGCCCGATCCCCCTATCTGCAGGGAGGTTTGTTGATCGAAAAAGTTTCTCCCGTTTGTGAATGCTGTTATTGTATTCGGTTAACTGAAAACTTAGTGGTACTCAAGTTAGCTTCGTGCTCGGTACACAGAAACTCTACGTATACGACTCTACCCATATGTTCGTACGCTGGTGTACGTTTGCAGATTTGCCGTTTTCATTCATACGGATCAGGTAGGCAAGTCGCGTAACTTTGCATGTCAACACGGGGAGGGGCAAACTAAACAGGTTTATTTATTAAAAAACGGACCGTATATAGATAAGAAACTTAACAAGTTTCTTAATAGTACTGCTATCTCTAATGTTGCGCGCTTTTGCTATGTTGTGGAAGTGTCAAGCGCACGGAAGACAAGTGGCGACCGTAAAACGATTAAGGCGTTGCCTGGGCCTTGCGTCACTATTCGCAATCTAAAAATTGATGTAGTTCTCGTCAACTTCAATGGATAGATAATTATACTTTCATACAACGAATAAACCGGATGTCAAACTAAGTTATTATTAAATAGTTGTACAAACATCCAGTTTGATCGATATAGGCCTATTTGCTTTGAATACGAGGTTGTGTTTTCTACGAACTGCCACCTTTTAATCGTTTGACCCTACGGACAACTGTGAATATGGTAATTAACTAGAAAATGTACTGCGGGAGCCCCACACACAGCTTTGTGAAAAGTGAAAATCTGATTCTGAACATGCCAACTTCCTATTTTATTGGCTCATTGATATATGTCGAAGCCTTCATGGCAGCCTAAGACTGAGCAATGGTACAATCATATGAGTTCATGTAAGGCCTAAAACCAGCTCAAATCATCCGTATGTCATAATGAAGGCCAATGTTATAGGTAGTGCCGGCCGTACGTAACGATTTCCGAATTAATTAATCGTTAATAGCTTTTCAAGTGGAAGCTGGTGATGGGTAAAAAAATTAACCTTCACGAATCTAGCGCCGTATCTCCCCCTTCATTTTTACATATGATACTTATTACACTGTCATGAACGAAAACGGCAAACATTGAAACTCAGTAGTTTTCGAACTACTTAGGCTTTTTAGTATGTGTTAAATGTACCCTCCTTCATTCAGACTTTCCCAGCGGTCTGGCAGCTTTTAAGTCTGTACCAGGCTTGAGGCCTCTTTGCCTAACGTTTCTATTGATCTCCGAGGAAGTTGCGCGGCTGAGCGTTGATTTTCAAGATAAAGCGATGTTTTTCTTAATAAATTCATTTTCCCTAGAGTAAATCAACCAAATTTTGTCTACTAACGTTGCGTAGTCCTAAACCCATTCAGTCTCGAAAGTCTATCACATCCACTTGTAGAAACCTAATGTATAAAACGACTATTTACTATTTATCACACTTAATTCTCTTTAATTGTAGGAGCGATAGTTAAAATTTGCCGAATATCGACAGCGTCCTTCGAGGGAACTCGATGACCGATGGCCCAATTTCTGTCAGACGACTGGCTGGGCTTTGCAACGAATTAGTTGGGTTTCCAGTATCCGAAATCAACTCGCGCATCTTTTTGTCACTGGAAAAAAAAGACGCAATTCAAATAACGAAGTATGAAATTTCTATTTGTTTAGTCGATGTCAGTTACCTAGAGAACAATATAGGAATCGATTTTGTTCTGTTCCGCCAAGGAACTATGAATTTAGTGGGGCTTTGATTGAAACTTACGAAGTACATTCGTCATAGCTATTTACAGTGCAAAACATACTTGTTCAGACACTCATGAAAGCTTGTATAGGAGTTCGATTTTGAGAAGCCTTTGCTATGCATGAAGAGACGTACGCAATTATAGGAATGAAAAATACGATAAGAAAATTGGCTTAAGTTAGTACTAGTATTCCTTGTTACGATGGTAAACGCCATAACATTCAAATATATGATGTCGACAGTGTTCTCTAATCTAATCGCTGTAAACAGAAGTCGAATAACTTCTTCATTAATAACGAGGTCTTGATTCTATTTTTTATACGTTCACTGTCTAATTTATGCAGAGCTCACAGTGGATAAGTGCATTAGGATTTTAAATCCGCGAATCCGCGGATATAATGATCATTAATCCATATCTTGAAGCCTACATGCCGCTGAAGTAAGTTTGTAGTCTTATACGCGGCCTTTTGTATCTGATGTTATTGACCGTGATCCTTCAACTGCCTATATATTTAGCGCTATCTCGCTTAAAAAGACCTTTGGAATCAAATGAAGACAACTTCTTGCAGTTTCTCCGCTATAATAAGGCCGTTTATTTATACCATTATAATAACCCAGTCATTTAGATGTTGTCCTTTAATGAAGTTTCGGAAATGTTCTGACTTCATGCATGCAACGATCAGAAGCTGTCTATCGCATCGTTCAAGTTGTAGCGAGCAATTTTTAAACAGAACTGGTATTGCGTACTCAGAGGAGACTAGCCGTCTGTGCAAAAACAAATTTACTTTTTTTCCAGTTTGTAAGAACAAATTTTAATGGATAATATCACGCCAATTGGGAATTTTGGCGCAAAGCAATGAGATAGCATGTAGCATTTAGCTCGCACACACTCTATTTGACATTAGCCAAATTCTAGTCCGGAATTTTCGTGCCTTAGCGTTTACTAAGCGTTCATCAAAGTGCAAAAACCACTATTCGTAGTAGATTAAACGTTTTGGTACTTACAAAAAATGGTGTATCTGCAAAATGTCCTTTAAATGAAAATTAGTAATATACATAATAAATATTTCCAACTGTCTTGAACAGATAAAACTTGTTTTTTGAAAAACAGAAAAACATATTTTTTGAACAAATAAAACTTGCTCTAAAAGACCATGCACCGACTTGGAAGAAGTGGCAATTTCGAACGATCTATTACACGCTGACATTAGTTATGGCCATTTTGGATCGGATCCGCTATTTCTGGGTTTCCCATTCAGGCATTTTAGCCATGAGTATGCGCGGTCAATAGATTGGACATCATTGTCGAATCGTTATCAGTAGCACAGTCTCATAAGACCATTGTCAAAAGCTCCTCTAGCGGAGATGGTATGAAGTGAGAAGTGAATTGTCGAGGCAATGTCATCTGAATCGCCCGTGCCGTCCCATTACAGAGGACACCAGTTAATGAAACGGCTGTATTTAGCTGCACACGGTCATCTAGAGGTGTTCAGAAATGCATAGCGCCTCTGCGGCGGCCTGGCTGAGATGGAATAGGCCTCGGAAAAGGCCGAAAACTTGCTCGAGGCTTGTTCGATCTCACAAGCGGCGTATTCATTTTAAATTGACTCATGATTTTTATACGATTTCTTTCGGGATCAAAATAGCAATGAGCAAAATAAATGAGCTTATTTTGGACAAAGCTATGTATGACAAAATGATATTAATTAAAGTTTGGTAGAAGCCTACAGACGTTTAGTGATTGTATAGCCTAAAAAGGGTTCTGAGCCAAGATATTGACGGTATTGTGATTATAAGTATCACAGTCATTTAGAAAATAACTATATTTCCATTTAGTATCTATAATTCTTTACTGATCTATCACAGAATATCACACCCCACCCTAATGTCAAAAAGTTTTAACATTATTAACGATAACCGAACGAGGACGTGTCTGCGTATTCAAGAATTGCTACAACAATGAACAATACGTTTAACTATTTCTTGTTTATGGTCATAGTGATATATGATAGAATGAAATATAGTATATCATTTCTATAGTTAAATTATATATTTTTTTATTATAATGACAACCTAGATTCTGCCAGTGACACCGTAATCCTTCTTCTTTTGTTCACACTTTTCCTAAGATGCTTCTGTAGGTAGATGATTTTGAACAAGACAAGCCAGCCAGCCAGCTCTCTCGTTTTCTCCAATATATTGCCTATTTCATCTATTTATACTTACATATTAATAATTCTTCCACGCTTGGTATTATCCATCCCCGAGCGATTCTATGAAAAGAAGTTTTGCATTTATAGTAAGAGATATTTACCCATTAATAGATATTTAATAACTAAATGATAATAAGCTATGTTCTTTAAATATTAAAAAAAGTAAAAACTAGATTTTTTTTTGTCAATTTACATAAATAGATAGAGCCTATGCAAAAAATCGTAGTAGTTTTTACGCTTTTTATTTAGTTAATGAAGATGTTTATATACCAAGTTACACAAATGGCTACCTCGTATTGTGCAGTACCGCACGTAATTCAAAGAGGTTTTTCCTATTTCATGTTTACCCTATTATCACCATCATCATTTTATGGCCATCCTTTTATTATCAGTAATATTATTTATAATATTACTAAGTTTTCATCTCATTTTCATGTCTCGTTACACTCGATCTATATAAGACCCGGTCTCGAGCTGTGTATGATATTTCCGTTTCTTTACTCTTTTCTCATCGTACAGAACTGCTTAATGGTGTGGTTGCGTCTATAACTTGCGGACAAGTTTCCTTTTGTTCATTTTTTCAGTGTCGGGGATGAAAAACAACAAACACACATATATCTACTATTTCTTCTGAACGAATCTGTTTCATTCGGTCGGAATCATGGCTGCGTAACACTTAACTTCCGTTGTTGTTACTGACGCCTATATGGGGTTTTGTTGTGTCGCGGGGACGTATAGTAGAAGTATCTCACGGAAAATCATAATAATATCTTTTGTCACTATTCAATTATTGCAGTATCATTGTTCGCCATTGACTAAAATGCAGCCTAATTTCGCGTGATGGCAGACCGTATAGATTTGTTTAAGTCCACGAGCACGTCCACACCAACGCTAGATTCACTCGTCTATATTCTCTTTCATTAGGCCACGGACAGACTAGAATCGGCCTAGTAGCCCTACAGCTAGATTTTTTATCGTACTGTTTATTATCTCTCACTCGTTTTCAGACTCTTGTCCTTTGTCTTCACGTATCGCTATAATTGGTTTTATCATAACCATTGTCTTAGAACGCTTTACTTCCTGAACATTATTAACATGGAATTATTGATATTTCTTTCGTTTTCTAAAATCCGGCTCTACTATATACTGTATAGCCCAGAAATGAATAAGTCACCAGGTGTTTTTTTGTTGATTAAGTAATAGCGCTATAAATAGATGGATATAAAGCAGAAATATATTTAGCAACATATATATATATATATATATGCTGATGAATGTACATGGACTTGTATATGAAGTCTTCGCTATAAGAAACTGCAACGACGGCAGTATAGTCTGGATAAGCATTGCTATGACATTCTGTATAATACATTGATTCATATAAGCGAAGCAAGCAATGCTTAATTGTACAGCTTTGATTAAATAGTAGAGACTCCATGTAGTTTTCCTCTTCATTTATCTAATTCACGATGCTCCCATAATGTTTACTTTTTTTACGCCTTCAAACTTACCTAATTTAATCACGTCGGTCACGTTATCGGATCTTCTTGCCACATATGCAATCTTGCCGCTATATTATCCGCTTCTCAGGTATTCTTTTGGCCGTAAGATGATAAAGGCTTTTTTGTCACAGGCCGACCACACGCTAACGGGAGGCAATATTTGTTTTATGCTATATGAATGTGTTCTGTTCGATAACGTTGTATCTATGATAATGTTAACAAGGCCAGCCGCGGCTGCAGCACGAGCGCTCTAGGTACATCAACAATAGCACGGCAGGAGCTAAAAATAAAGGTACTTTATGCTGTACGAACGACTGATTATCTGACTCGATAGATAATGTCCTGCTGACCGACCGGCTAAACTGGCTCTGCTTGGCCTGTGTGTCCTATCGAAAAAGCTAATGGTCTATCTAGCAATGAATGTGTCCGCTCATGTTCACCAAAAAATATAAGGGAATACAGCAGGTCCTTTGGATTGACCAAGAAAGACATGACTGTTTGATGAGAGGAGATTGGTAAACTACAACGAGGAAAGGAAAGGAAAGGGGGCGAAACGTGACCAAGGCCTGTCCCACCATCAGAATAATGATCTGGACAAGTTACTGCCATGGTGTTGTTGCTGTCAACTTCGAATGCCAAACTGAACGGTGTTCGAGGACATTGGACAGCTCTTTGCGGAGCGGCTATATGAACCAATAGCATTCCTATTCCTAGCTATTTTCAAGAACAAAAAGCTGAACCGGACCAGGTAGCTACGACGGAAGAGCTTCACTTCCTACTTCGATTTTGTTCTAGCACTCAACGCGACCGTGAAAGCTGAGGGAGGACCAAGGTCTTCAGGACGTGAGAAATCAACTGCCGGTACGCAGTGGAGCTCAATAGTGACCTAAGGTCGTTTAAATCCTATTTTGTTTTCGTTGCCGTGTAAGGCACTTCACAGAGCAATAGCTGTTTTTTCTGAGGAATGTGAAGTTCTGGGTGTCTTATCAAGGGATAGGCAAAAGGCATGCGCACTGGTAATGATTAAGACCAATGTTAGTTAGCCTTTATCCTAATTTTAACGCTAGAGCTAATGCTGTGTTCTTAACTATTGTATCATATCGCGCAGTTACGATATATGTAGCCATGTGCGTATGCGTCAAATGTGTAACCTGTTTATATGTGCCCTCGTATAAATTTTTTCCAATAAATTCTTTGTGTTTAATATACTCGTATCATATGTACTAGATCTATATACAACGTTCACGTTTATCCTCTGGACGGTCATAACCGTTAACGGTTTGATATGTTGCAGATGACAACGAACTCTTCTGGTCTATGACAAACAAAACGAGATATGCGGAGGCTGCTGATGTAACCTAGAGACCCCATTCAGCAATAGTCAAAGTTCATCGAATTTCGGTGTAGTAGCACAATAGTCGACAATAGGCGACTTCACCAGAATGAACAGCTCTACCTCACAACGATATATGTATATATATATATATTAGCGTCGGGCGTTTGTGGTGATCGATATTCGATGCTGATAACAAACAGTCTTTCAGTGATAGGTAACCTGTATAGAGTACGTGTATCGCGTGCGCTACATAGAGTATGTACGTAGTTGTCATGGTGCAAAAAACGCAAGATCACTTTAATGGTTTGCGGACTAACGGGAACTAATATAGTCAATATCTCTATCCTTACCGGTCTCACGTTAGCGCTTTGGGAATTGGTGGGACGTCGCTTTGCCCTATTAATTTCGAGAGCTTAGTTTACTACTGTTAGTAATATTTTACTGAGAATTAAACGGAGATTATAGGCTTAGAGATACATACAACTGTTTTTCGATAATAGCTAGGACTAGGACCCAATACCTCTTGAAAGTGCAACGATTTTGCAGATTCAACAGCTAGAGCGTCTGACAAGCATAAACTCATATCGTTGTTTTGCCATGGTAACAAATAAAGTGTATTTATCTTTTTAAATCAGATAAAGGTGCATATAGTACTATTCTGGCGTAATCCTCTGAACAAAACAGTTCAAGTTTTCTTCTGTTTGACATTAATGCCCGATCCTAGGAAACAATGATCACTATCTCGGAACAAAGCAAAGCGACACTTCTGTGGTTAGAATAGGAAAAATCTAGACTTTTATATTGAACGTTAGAATATCGGCAAGAGTATCTTTGTCTGACGTAAGTAAACGAAAAAAAAAATAGCGTACGGTTATCTCTATCTCGTTATCGCCATTGCCATAAAAAAAAAGAAGCCTCGTCACGCTCAGCACAAGTACATACAGCGCATCTCGCTAATAATCACAATCAATATAAATATAATCATCATTTTCAGCCACTTAAAGCGCCCCCTCTATATTATCAGCAGCACAAGGTGTTATCATTGTTATTTAGAATAGTGTAGTTCCTGAAGACACTGATGCACAGTTTGTATCAGGGTGTTCTGCTTCTCATTCTGTTTATGGTTTGTTTTGCCGCTGTCAAATATTTAGTCTTCATTTTGTCGAAGTATCATCGCTGGTGCAGTAGTAACTAGAGTGATTGTTAGCTCGGTACGGTGAAGTGTTGAGTTGTACAGTTGCTTATCTAGGTTACGACCGTAAGAAGTACATGCCGAGCAGGTGCTCCTTTGTCGCTGTTGAAACTGTAGGTACTCATGTTTTTCTCATTTCTATCAACATTTAACATCAGTTTGCATTGTGATCGTATTGTGTTTTCTTCAAATCGATGCCTCCTTACTGTGATATCTATAGGTAGGCTCCACTGTACTAATATTTACTATTATTATCGATTATAATTGTTTATAATAATAATCAGCCATACTTAGCACATATATTGTTAGTTGCTCTAGTGTAGGTAATTATTAATGTTTTTTTCTAAATACTTCTCTGTTATTCGAGCCTGCTTAGATGACATTATTTTTGTTTCTCATTTATTGTTGTTATTGTCTACAAAATTTACAAAAATTGTTCCCTCTTCGATATATTCATGTGGGTCACTGTGTCAAATTGTGTACACGGGGTGAAAATCGGCCCTGGAAAATGTGAGTCCGATAACTATCACGGCAAAAGTTCGTTTTGATCTTGTTAGTTACAGTCGAATAACTTGTACCAGAATAGATTTAATGTGGAGTATAATCTATGTCGGTTTAAATGGTATGGGCTATGCAAAGCGCGCATGTTTTATGAACAGTCCAATAAGAGGGAAAATCTGTTTGTTCTGTTTTGAATTGGATGTTTCCCTGTCCGTTTGTATCGTTGTTCTCAATCAATATACGCTTCCAATGAATGTAGCACTTCGGCGCTAAACAGGATAGCCTTTACTTTTGAGGTGGCAGAAGAAGTTCATTACGGCTGGGTTAGTGGCCATCTTCGGTACGTACCTACAACTGCCATATGGTCTTTCATTTCCCTCCGTTACTGTTCTATACATATGTTTACATACCTTTCAATCTTTATATATTTTTAGTTGATTATATTATACAGAGCCTCGGCCGAGCATCATTTGCAATTACTATTATTTTCTTTCTATTATGGGTGAACCCAACATTAATACAGGTAAATAGATATACCAGCCGTCTTTATTGTGTGCGGCTAGTTATGTTGCTTTAGTTACGTTACGTTATACACGTTTTCCATAAGCTTTCTAGATACTAATTAAGAATCGGCGACCATACGTTCTCAGTTCTCAAGTAACAGCGTAACACCACAAGTTAAAATAATAGCAGAACCGATTATTGCAACTTACAGTTCCAATATATTTTGTATCCATACCTATGTGTTTTGCGGGTGTCCGGCACTTTTAAGACTCTCTTCATGTAAGAAATGTGCTCGTCAAAAATGCTCGAAAAATGTGCGGAGTCCCGTGGACGGAATTACACCGAAACTGCATACATTCACACTCACACACACAGAGACACACAGATGTATTATGTATCTAACAATAGAGCCGACAGAGAGCAATTTCGGGCGAGTTCTACGTACGTACATCACGAAAACGTTGTTGATGAAATTTTTGAAGACAGCCGCGTTAATTTGCTTGCTTTACCCAAAAACAGTTCTGTTCTACGTAGACGCTGCGATAAGGTTATGAAACGTGACGGCGATTCAAGCGGTAATTGACCTCTAGGAGACTTCTAGGGGCATATTTCATCCAAGTTTTCTTTAATCTACAGACTATTCTTTCATTCTTTATTTTTCGCATTAATTTTCCTTTCTCCCGTCATTTCTTGCTTATAACAACACTAATCTGAATCTAATTAAAAACAATAACGTTAGTTTAATACATTTAGGTTGCTTAGCTGCGATATGCTTATTCATCCGTGTCTATTACGTAGGAGTAAAGGTCAACTATTTCTGGCAAAATGGCCAAAGCGAAACCGATTTTGCCCGCCGTTTGTTTTCCTCTCTTAACGCCCGACTGGTTACACCTAGGGTTGGGGGCAAGATATAAATTTTTGCTCTTAATATCGATGACAGAGAGGACTGGTTGAGATTGGGTAAAGCCAGGCCAGAAGGAGGGGTTGATATGGTTTACATCATAAAAACTCTATTACCCGATGTTTGGCGCTCACTGTATTGAGACAGGGTTTTCGTGCCATAATACTCTCGAATTTCTTTTCGTTACCCGCAGCCGACTGTCTCCTATTTTCCGTTTTAGGTCCTCTTTTTGTGGTTCTTCTTTCGCAGTCGTCCGTAACCTTCAGCAGACAACGGCGCCCAGCGGCCTCGACGGGTTACGTCTTGCTTTTTTGCTATTATTTGCGTTGGATTGGGGGTATTCTAGGCTAATTTTAAGCATGGATGGTGTACCGTTCGACTCTTTATCCACGGCTAAAAAAATACTAAAGCAGAAATAAGTAACCGCTCGGGCACGAAACAAGGTCAGAAGATGTAGGCGTAAGCCGATATAGCCGGGTCGGTGGTAATGGTTGGATGCAGGTCATGCCCTGAACGGTGAAATTTCGATGTGCAATGAAAGCTTAGTTAACGATAAAAATTTGTTGCTAAACAAGATTTCTAAATCCCCGTCTAAGGCCCCGGTTTTAAGGTCGAGGTCACGTTTCGCAAGACCGTGGCAAACGTCTCAAACGAATGATCGAGTGGCCGTTTGCTCGAATCAAACGAAGGCGCATCGCTTGCCGGCAGTAGCTAAACGGGAGAGCTTGAAACGACTGGCATAGCACAATGCTGCGTTACGTTGTGTCTATACGTTGAAGCATGTATTTATGCCTGACAGTAGGAGCGCTTGACTGTGGCCAGCAGTACAGGTAGCAATATAGGAATATTGGTGCCACTCCATCACCTTGTCAGCCAACGTTTTTTTAACCTGTCGAACCGTGTTGTTGCATGCGTGAAGTGTCACACTATCATCATTTCACCATCCGCCATCGTGTTACCTTCTGACCACATTCCCATGTAGGAACGGTGGAATCACCTGTATCGCTCTCTAGTGTTATCTATCTCCGTTGCACAGATACGTACACATATAGCTACACAAATATAGTCGTGTGATAGTAGGTTGATAGGACTGGATCGCAAATGAGAGTTTTTGCTTTGACAAATAATCCTTTTCAAAGCTAGGCAAGCAATAAAACGGTGGCAGGCAGTGTCAAGGTTATCCTGTTATACGTAGGGCTCGTGTAGATTCATGAAGGATGGATAGCAGATGTTTACAGGGAACAAAACTTTTTTGCCCAATACGGCTTTCTTGGGCGCAATTCAGGATAACAGAGGCGTGGACGAAGCAAGCAAAGATTTCGACTGGGACATCAAGCTATCGGTGTACACATTTGTCATTGTAGGGATACGAAGATCTTGGAGGCAAACGGTTCTTCAAAGAGCGGGCGTAGAACCCAAAAAATATAAGGCATCTTATATTTTATCAATATCATCATCATCATCATCATCATCGTAGTCCAGCACCCTCAAAAAGTTCCTGAAGCTTCTAGCCTTTTTCCGATGAGCACAGAATACAGCACTGCCACGCATGTCAATTTTAACCTGTATGAGCCCTAAACAAAAGAGCCTCACTCTGTTATGAGAAAAGAGGCACAGACGAGACATGGGAGAGTCTTGGAAAGTAAAATAAACCAGCTACGTTTCTGTGTGGTGTTATATATATAGCACACCAAGCCAAAGCCACAGGCACAAATGATTTCGTCAGTTCGTGTCAACTACAGAATTACAGAAATCGGCGAAGAATATTGAGACAAGCAAAATAAAGGGATTGCGCCTAAACGTGATTAAGTTACAGGAGATAATATTGTATCGGCACGAAAAAAATTGCCGGTTCAGCTGCGTGTCAATCGGATTTAGGCTATATCCCGAACGTGGAACAGGGCTAAGGAGAATGAGAGTCACCGTGATGTCTGTAAGCAACCAAAGCAGGCGACAATACTGACCCTCTCGCACGCATAGGTTTGAAACGTACACAAAATCAAGCTTCAAAAAAAAAAGTTCTACCTCAGTTAGTCTCGAATTTGCCACATTGCTGTAGTAAAGTTGATCTGCTACTGCAGGAGCTTTATTTAGGAAGGCTTCTCTAATCCCGAGCAGAGTGGTGACATCCCGGCGCGCTGCCCGGCTGAGTTTGCTAGCTTTTAGATGAACGGCAGACGCTTTGGATAATCATGTGGATGCTGAACAGTGCTACCCCTCTTCTTTGCTACGGTCGTCGAACACTTCCTAGTAGTACGCCCTTTCTTACGTGGTAAGGTACACGGGCCGAGTCAGGGGCATGTGTTGACGAGCTGCCGCAAAGCTGCTCCCGATCATTGTCTGGTTAATCGACTCATTCCAGCAAGTTTCTACCGCATAAATCACCTTCCTCTACGTCCGCAATACGTCTGTGAAACAAGCCGTACAATGTAGAATTTACAAATATACACATCTTATCGATCCTGTATTTCTCTCCTAATCTGGTACACTGGTTAACATTGAATAAGGAAAAAATCAAATAGGCCACGTATTATAGAACACAATGAACGTAGTCTTGTTAACCTTATACTTTCAATTTTCGCTTATAAGGAAACACAATCAGACAAATGAATAGTAATCAGGCTGTTCTGTGTTTAACCAACAATTGTGTGTAGCATACAGTTTATCCTACCTTTATTGACGTTAGTTGGAAGTAGTATCAGGCGTTCCAATAGTGACTGTGCTCTTGTTGTTACGGATGTAGCACGGAAAGACAGTCGTGCCTAGAGGCTGCATCTTTTAGGCAATGCTAAACTACTGCCTCATGATTGTTCAATCGTACGGATGATGGGGAACTATGCGACCTCTTAATACTAAGCGTATGTAAAGCTCTAATATTACTAATGCTGATGTTTATATTGTGCGCTGGCGCCGCTGAGTATGGCATATTGCGCTGTTGGAGCGGACAGGGATTGCTGGCCGTATGAATGGGCGATTCCGGCCCCGCCGAGTTCCCGGGATCCGATTGTGTCTGGATGTCTCCGCACGTGCTTGCCGTTGCCATCGTCGATATGCGAGGAACTAGCCGCACCGGCCCCGAGTCCTTGCGTGTCCTCTCCAGCTTCCGGTCCAGACTCGCTCTAAGCACATCCATTAAGGACAACGACATCAGCGACCCATCATAGTCGCCATTACAAGCAAAACGAAAAAACATAGGGAGAGAAAACGAAGGTATAAAAGTGCAGTTAGTTTACGTGAACATAAGCCCTCATTGAGCGATAACGGAAAAGAAACGTTGAAGGAAGGACCCTCTTCTAACACACCAAATCTATACGGGAAACTTATCCTGCTACCAAACGGGCAGGGGACGGAACGGTGAGTCCTGTCCAGGGGCAAAAATCGAGTACCGAAACAGTGTAAGTCAAGTAAGGCAAAAGAAAACTTATTGAAGGGCTTCGAAAGATTTAAATAGACAAGAGAGCAGACGTAAATCAGCTACTGGTTAACTAGACGAATTTATGCGTACCAGCGTTTAAACGCAAGAGTTGTATGGTTACTACCGCTACTGCTTTTTCTACGGATAAGCTGAGTAAAAACGAGAAAGGTAAGCAAAACGAATATTACATTAAAGTTACAAAGCAACAGGTGGCAGACCTACAGAGCTGCCTTCAACGGTAGCTCCTCAAAGCCGCTTTTCAGCTGTGCTACGCTGAGAGATACGAGTCTAGTTGCGGGTCCAATCGGGACAATCCCCAAACACTGTCGGAATCGGAATAGCAGAGAGAAAAACCAAAGGGTGAGGGAAAAGGAGCGCTGGCGAGCTTAGAAACTTGATGTGGGAAAAATAAAGGCACAACATCTAGGTCAAAAAAACCTCTTAGTTACATTAATAGCGCTACTGGTAGGTAAAGTTTTTCGGACGAAAAATACGAGAAACCGACTGGAGCTGCAAAACGGACTAGCCAAGCACGAATAACACTGGGAGTCGTTATCATCGAAACCGTGGGTAGTGTTTCTATACATGGTATGATGGCAGTCAATAGTATTGCTCGTGTTTTTTGTGCCGCGCACGACGGAAAGCATGGTGAAAATCGTGGAGTAAGTATTCTCGTTTATTGCTGCGGCGCTCTTCTGCTCGGGGCTTCAAACATTCGATGCTTAAAGCATAACATTGCTTTTCCAAGAAAAGGTAATAAAAAGGCTTCAAGGGCGAGAGAATTAAAGGAAGTGCAAAGGCTGGATGGAGATAGGGAATTTACAAATAACAAATGCGCATGAATACAAAAACGCACTAACAATAATAGCAATACAAGTGAATTCTTCGCTGCGCGGAGGTCGGATCGCAAGGTGGGGCTTGGGCCGTCCCGCAAGGCAATGCAAGAGAATTAGTGGTCTGCAGTTGTGCTTTATTTCTTGTGTCACGGCCATGACCACGTTCCTAAAAGTAAACGGCGATTGCCTGACTGCACTCGCGCGTCTGCGAGAGAGAACGATGCTACCGCGAGCAGGTCTAAGAGAAAAAAGTGTAGGGCAGGCGGCGTGGCAGGAAATAAGAAGAAATTTCGACGCGTCAGCACCCGTGTAAGAATGGCCCTTAGAGTCTTGGTAGGAAAATGGATCAGGAACGCTCTAAGGGCCTTCTCATAGAACTTTTTTTTCCTGGTAACGATAAGATAAACGGCTTTCTCATCACTCTTCCTTCTTGGAATAGCGAAACAAACGTAAGAATCATGCCCCAGCGCTACCAGGGTGTTCAGGAAAAGGAAGAAAGCAGATTGCCTGCCCATTCGGTTCATTCTCTCGCTAGGCTCTGTCGGCATGAGGCTAAAAGGACTCCGGGCTCTAAATTAGTTTTCTAATGGGCTGACAAACCGCTTCGTGTTAGTTTGCAAAATCTGGGCAATATGAAAATAGACTAATTGACTAAACTTCTCTTCTTGTGCAACACTGAATAAGAGAAATAAGATCAAGAAAACAAAACACGGAACCGTAGGTCGCAGAATTTGATAATGCAGATATCTGACAAAGAAAGAAATTACGACAGTGGGCACCCTCCAACGCAATTGGTAGCCCATTTTTCCGGTGTCCCATCGGACATTCTGCCAAGAAATCACTAATGCCTTCTAAATCAAAATGGGCCATGCGGATAAGAGTCGATTCAGTCCACATCTTCCTTCTTTCCTTTTCAACGGCTTCGCACACAGTGTTTGTTCAAAGCATCTTCTGATCAAAGTGTCTGCGGCAGTCAGAAAAGCGAGAAATACATGCAAGACAACTATCGGAAACGCAACGCTTTCTTCCGAGATTGAAGGACAACAAAACGGCATACCATTAGTAAAGCAACTGCGCACTCTGGGTTCTGCAGTCAAAGTCAATGACAATAAAAATGGCGTACGAATCTCACATACTGCTTAAAAAATATGGCGGGCAAATTCGACTAGTACAGTCAAATGCTAAACATGAGAAAATACGGAATTAAACATATGAGGAAACGTCTACATATAGAGGAAAAAGGGAATTTAATAGGAAGTTTGCCAACAGAATTAGAGGAGAACTTGTGATCACTTACATTACATATGTTTGTCATAGCGATATGGCTGAAAGGAGTAGGGCTCCATTTAGATACGGTTCTGTTTTGTAACAAAAGTTAAATAAAATAGACAAGTGCTTCATATTTTCCATATAAACATAGTGTTTCATTTAGAATTATGTAAATACAATATATATCTATATAGGTATCCTAATGTCGATAAACGAGAACTTTCTTCTTATCCAATGCTGTTTCTGAATGATGTTCTTGAGTTAATATAACGTTCTAATTCCAACATAATATACAAATCAAGAGATTAGGTGACTCGAGGCACGTACGTCTGCATAGCATTTTATTAAGCCGAATAAGGCCCATATTGACGTCCATTGTTAGCCTGCTAATAGATCAGACGGTAGCGCTATTGGCTTGAAGCGATTAATCGTACTGCCATATGTCAAATCAATGCGGTGTACGGAAAATCGCACAATTTGGCAGCGCTCAAAAGTCGCATACTATGTACAATGCAGATCATAATTCTGTACATCGTTTCTGGCGCCTGCTATAGGAGGCGTTTATGCCCAAAATTAGTGGGTGACGACACCTGGAAGTAGCTTCTCAGAAAAATTACTCGAGTTAATCTAGTTCGTCGTATCCGAAGCACGATGTACTTATCTATTAAGTATCAGGCCTTCGATGTTTTAGGTGCATGTAAAGCTAACCCTAATCGTTGTTCTCTATCCGGTAATACTATGGTATCTGTCAGCAGAAGTTGAGTGCTACTATAATAGCCTAGTAAACTACATGTAAGGGCACTGCGGTCTTCCTTCGCGTAAATAATATCTAGACTTTTTTTTACAAAGTTTCCAACAGTATATTGGATCGGACCCCATAGGGCGATTATTAGCGTTTTGTAGAGTATTTCGTTTAAGCCTAGGCACGATAATGGGTATTTCTACGTTTCCCTATAGGAAAATAAACAGCTGGTAATTATTCGGTCGGACTGGATATCACTGACTGCCAAAAGCAAAGAATTTCCGAGCATGAACTGTGGTAAAGAGACATTACGCCAAAAGCACTGAGGAACACAAATGTGTCGTGGGAACTTTATATTGGTAATCAAATCCGAACTTCATTGATGGAAATCTCTCATTTTACCTATTCGAAAGCTAACAGAATAAACTGGGCTAGATATTTAAGCTTCGTATAATTGTAAGAACAGCAGATCAAGCTTTATCAGTTTAACTGGGGCAGGTTAAATCGAATACCGTGAGGGCAGCCATAACGGCACTCAACTCGTTCCAATATCGTCATGAGGTTACCCAACAGTTAAAGCAGACTGAAGCATGTTAGTACTTATTACGTCACACCCGTTCCTTTGTTCCATCTCTGGCTAATTTTCGCCGGTTCTTCTAGAACAAATAATTTTTAGCAAAATTTCTTCTACCGAAACCGTTCATCGGAAGACTAGATGAAAATATTCGCCAAATAGCTACGGCTACTTCCAAAAAGATTATAGATATATGACATATAGGCGTCGTTCGTCTTCTTTTGTTTGTGGGTATATCAATGTTATATAAACTGTATGGCGACTATTTTGACTATACTTCATCAAAGACCCATAAGCATCCAGCCGACCCAAAAACACTTTTTTCACTTGCCAAAGCTGTTGTCCCCAGCACAACCAGAGCCATTGTCTCTGTACCCAGATGTCCATCTTAGTTTGCCTATCGTTTGGCTAAGCAATTTACTATCAACATACTATAAATATTTAACTGTTTAATACTTATTATCGGATGGACATTAATGTTAAATGTAACGCTCATTTGTATCGACTCATTGAGACCAAACTGGATTAACCAAACTCTTTGAAATTCAATAGTGAATTAAACAACTGTGATGTGATTTGGGGGTTCTCTATCCAGCTACTTGACGCCATCATGACGCTACGTCATCGTAAACAGTACGTCGCTGAAGTGACCGTGCCGAAATGAAGGCCTCCATCTAACAGCAAACGATAGTTAATTCAATAAGAATAACTCTTATATGAAATAAGGCTATTTTCATTAGTAAAAATCAGTATTTTTACGCTGGTAGGCAGATCGCGCTTAGTGGACGTTGTAGAACGTTGCGTCCCGCTATGTGTGCCGCTCAATTGGTGATTAGCGAACTTTAACACTGATCTGTTTTGCATGATTGCAGGTAGCAATGACAATCTTGTTATTGGTAGGCCGGTAAGTTTACAAAAGGAATTGTAGACCTTCTTTACCTATTAGTAATACTCAGTTGCACGTATGGAGCAATTTTAGAGTCAATTTTTTTATTTCTCTTGAAAACGATAAGTTTTCGTAGTTGACGGCAAATTTACAGCAGATCCGGTGGCCGTAACAGATATGTCCTAGCTGTTATTGACTTTCAAGTCGGAGATATTTGCTGAATTTCACTATTTTGGTTAACCTATTTCGCTCTGCCGTCTGAGGCCGATTCTAGTCTACCGTCACCATTTCCAGATAATAAAAAAAAAAACGCAGAAAAACACTGCTACACCTGCATCCGATGACTCTTTTCATGGTCGAATCAAAAACGAGGTATGTATGCTACCTATTTTCTCTT